ACTGTGTGAGAGAATTTTCGCTCTCACGTGTAGTGCTTTTTGATAGAAGATAAGCGGACTAATAGTTGAGCGAAAAAATTTTCTCTCTCTCATATGAAGTGTTGTTACATACGCAGTATAATATAAGCGGATTAATAATTGAACGGGAAAATTTTCTCTCTACTGTTACATACGCAGTATAATATAAGCGGATTAATAATTGAACGAGAAAATTTTCTCTTATATGTATTACCACTAAAAGTTCTCTTTAAAGTTGTTTTTCTGAACTCTAACAATTAAGTTCAATATTTCATTATTTGTTGTCAACAATACTAATTATTTCATAGCAAATTCTAATGGATATTATTGATTTTTTTTACTTTATTTTTCTTTTACTTTGAATATTTGTTGTATGGATTTATACTTTTTGATATTAACTTATTGTACTCCATTTTTTAAATGCTATGGAATTGTAAAAAAATATTTTTATATCACGTATTTAGTTAGATCATGAACAAAAATATATAAGGATCAATTGTTTTTTACGGTCCGTATGCACGGGGGCAAATTATACCGTGCAACCGGCGCACCATGAGGATGGTGCGCCCGGTTGCAAAACGACGTAGCTTGCCCCCCCCCCCCCCCCCTTTTTTTTTTCTTTTGTTGTTAAAAAATGATAATAACTTTTTTATTTTTGATCCGATTTTTATAAAATTTATACCAACATTTTTTATTTTTCATGATCTTTCAAATGAGACCAAATTGCTTATGTAATTTTAAGAAATTATCGAACTATTATATTAATGAGTATTGGATTATAAGGAAAATCGAATCTGTTTGGGAGATGATAGGTTTGTGAAATAGAAGATCGAATCTGTTTGGGAGTGAATCAGTGGCCTCAGTTACATTTGATAATACATTGAGTTACATCTTTTTATGAGCAAGTTACATCTTTTTATAAGCAAGTTACATTTTTTTATAAGCAAGTTACATCTTTTTATAAGCAAGTTACATCTTTTTAAAAGCGAGTTACATATATATAAACACGAGTTGCATTTGACATGCCTGAACGCGACTTACATATATTTACACGTAAAGTTACATATTTTTACACGTAAAGTTACATATTTATACACGCGAGTTACATATTTATACACACGAGTTGCATTTGACCTGTCTGAACGCGAGTTACATATTTTTTTACGTAAAGTTACATATTGTTACACGTAGAGATACATATTTATACACACGAGTTGCATTTGGCCTGACTGAACGTGAGTTACATATTTTAACACGTAAAGTTACATATTTTATACGCAAATGTTAATATGTTAAAATTACATAGACAATATTGGTCTCCTTTGAAAGATCATGGAAAATAAAAAATGTTGATATAAATTTTATAAAAATCGGATCAAAAATAATTGATCCGATTTAGGTTTGAAAGATCATTGATATTAAACGAGATTGGATTTAGGTTGCTGATGTGCATGTGATTGTTGATATCTTTGCAGATGTTAATCCTAACATCAAGGTTTTTATACAACTGAGTAATTTATGTTTTCGAATTTAGAGTTTAACATTGAAGTGTTTGTACCTTACTCAGAACTTGCTTTGTGCAGTTAGGACACCATTTGGAAACACTAAGCAAACTATACTAATCATGATGGTTTTTCAGCATTTAGCAGATGAACTACTACTAAGTTTTGAGACAAAGATTTGTTTTTGACACTGTTTGGCATTGTTTGGACACTGTTTGGCACTGTTTTGCACTGTTTTGTTTCCTAAAATGGAAGTGTGAACTTAAATAAGGGACATCCCAAAAAGGAAAGTGAGAACTTTAATAAGAACCGGAGGGAGTAATAGTTTATTTTCTTTGCAGTGTCATTATTTTATCCACCACCCACCTCTTCCACCTTGCTTTGTGCAGTTAGGACACCATTCACACAACACAGATCTTGTGGTGGTGAGGAAGTTTTCCCATCACACCACCACAAGAATATAATTTGGAAACACTAAGCAAACTATACTAATCATGATGGTTTTTCAGCATTTAGCAGATGAACTACTACTAAGTTTTGAGACAAAGATTTGTTTCGTATGTTCCTAATGAGAGTAGAATCTGCAGGGCATTCATTCAACACTTTTTATACGGATCATAATATTAATCAATGAGAAACCTGGGAAATTGTCATCTTCCTTCCCCTCACACGCAGCGGCAGCACCTTTAGAGAAATTGGTGACCCCCAGATACACTTGTGTTATTCTTCAAAGGAGTGTGCTCTGCTATTCTACAAAGGAGTCGGTACCAACTCTTCCAAAGTGAAATGAAAAGAATCAAAGCAAAATTATACAATAGTTATATGTAATAAATTGAAATAATACGTTGAATTGTGAATTTGTTGTGATACTTTTATGTGTAATTTTTGTTTCTTTTTGTTGCATCACATGTGTTGCTTTTTGTTGTATTATGTTGTTTTTTGTTGCATCCTATGACTTTTTGTTTCACAGTTTTGCCTATTGTTGTTTATTATTGTTTTTAATTTTGTTATTCATGTAGGTGTATATTTATCTTTGGTACTGGTTCTAAAAAAAAAATCACACACACATACACACATATAAACACCTAAAAGGATAGTTTGGGCTTATGAATGTTTTTAGCCACAACTAAAAACATGATGAAACAATAAAGAAATGTTATCAACAAAAGGAAACACAAGGAAACAATATTCTCAAAAACTAACAAAAAGATGCAAATAGTTATATTTTAAAATATTATATTAAAATTTAAATTTTCGATTTCTTCAGATTAAAATTTTCTACATGTTCAACATTTTAGTTCTTCAATTTTTTAATTTTCTAGTTTTTAATATTATACACTTCTATAATTTACAATACTTTTCTGATATTTTTGTCAAATTTATGAATTATATTTTCAATTTTTCTGTACTTTATAAATTATCCTGGTTTTCTAAACTATTTTTTATCGTTTTTAATTTTTAATTATTAATGTAGGTGTATATTTATTTTTGCTACTGGTTCTAAATAAAAAATCACACATGTGAACATTTAAAAAGGATGATTTGGGCTTGTGAATATTAGCAACAACTAAAAACATGATGAAACAATAAAAAAACAAAAAAGTAAATGTTATCAACAAAAAGAAACACAAGGATACAATATTCTCAAACACTAACAATGAGGTGCAAATAATTATATTTTAAAATATTTTAAAATATTTTATTGAAATTTAAATTTTCAATTTTTTAAGTTCGAATTTTTTTTACATGTTCAACATTTTAGTTCTTCAATTTTTTTAACATTCTAGTTTTTAATATTATACACTTTTATAGTTTACAATACTTTTCTGATATTTTTTTCAAATTTATGAAATATATTTTCTATTTTTATTTACTTTATAGATTATTCTGGCTTTTTATAATATTAAATAATACATACATCTCGATTTTATAGATTTTTTTACATCATATATATTTCAATTTTAAAAAAGTATTTCGTAAAAATTTATAATCACTTTTCGTACTTTTTAGTAGTTCCAGAACATTTTATCTAATTTTTACATTTTTTGTATATAATTTTTAACTATTTTAAACTTTTAATATGTTTATTATCCTGTTTTTTATATTTATGTTTTCTATATTTTTCCGATTTTTTTAAATTTAAATTCATTTTCTTTTAGTTTCTAATTTTAATTAACAAGCTTCCAATTTTTGCTTTACTGATTGATTTTTTTAATGTTTAGTACTTTAGTTCTTCAGTTTTCGTGAAATCGAAGTTCATTTTAGAATTCTACAGTTATGTTTGCTTTTAGTTTTATGAATTTAATAATTTTTTATGTATTTTCTTTTGTTATATTATTCACACTTTTCCTTTTACTATTTTAATTCAGCATTATATTTGTTTGAATAGAGGTTTTCTCAATATTTAGAAAAATTGTAAGTTTTTATAGCTTTTGTATATTTGTTATTATGAATTTAATTTTCAATTCATAATTTCCATAAGTGGATTGGTTACCAACCGTATGCACAATGGTAGCTTTAACGTGCGGGTGTTACGGCCTTAGAGCCTGTTATTGAAAAGAAAATTTTGATCAGGCTATTTTTGAAAACAAATTTCAAGAGTGAAAAAGTTGATATTATTTTCGCTTTTTGAACTATTTGTTAAAAATTCCGTAAAAATTCCGTGGTCTGGGAGTTTCGAACCCGATTAGATTGTTTACACACACAGACGGTAATCCTGTTGAACAACTTAATTGATGTTAAAACGCTTTCATTTGGGTTTCTTATATCATACCATTATTGATATAACCCATAAGATTTTAAGCCCAATATCATCAACTACAATTATTGATATCAATTTGTAATAATCATAATAATAACTATCTTTTAGTGTTGCACGTACGCCATTATTAAATTAATAAACAATTAGATATTTATGAAATATTCATTACGTTTATCAATTATATTTATAATTGTTTATACAAATATTACTTTGACATATTATCCATTTAATTCCAAACACATCTTAAATTTATGAATTTCATTTTAGATAGTGATACAATAATATTTAATTCAATCTCTTATAACCATTAATAGATTTTGAATGAGAGTTATTTTTCAGCATAAACCTTTAATCTAATACGTAGTATATAGTTATACTCCCTCCGTCCCCGAAAGATGTTCACAATTTTACCCTCACACATTTTTATGCAAAAGTTTAATTGTAGTTGACTTTCCTAAACTACCCCCATCCTTCCCACCCTGTTGCACCATTCGACTGAGCTATTAAAACAAAAAGGGGGGTAATTCAGTGAGTAAAAGCATCCAAGAAGGGGGTAAAAAATGGGAAAAAGTAGATTGAGTTGATGGATCTACAGTAATGTGTCTTTTCTCTGTACTTCCTTTACACTTATTCTGCGTAAAAAGCAAAGAGAGCACCAAAAATCCCTCCAACTTTTTGGATGGTTCATTACACTTAAACATGAAAATTCAAAGTTCTCTCCCAAACCCAAAAAATTACACTTAAATGCAGCACAACAACCTCTTTCTGATCATTTACTACTCCCATGGATCTTTCTTTGTCTCTCTCTCTACAAGGTCATGCTTCCTTAAATGTCACTGCAGCTGCAACACCTTTCTCAACCGGAACTACAACTGCTACTCTATCTATTCCTGCAACACAAAACATTGAAGGCAGTGAAGGTGGACCAAGCAAATGGCCAAAACTAAGTAATGCACAGAAAACCAGTATGGTTGAAATACTTTTAGCAAAAGTGATCAATGGAAAACTTCAGAGGGGCATTGTTGGACAAACAGCCACGCAGTTCAACTGTTCTAGGCGTACAGTACACAAAATTTGGGCTAGAGCTAAAAGCCAACTGAATGATGGGGTGCCTATTAATGTGCAAAGTCATTGTAAGGGAAACGTGGGTAGAAAAAGAGTCACTTTCGACTTAGATAAGTTAAAAGACATTCCACTGCATCAAAGAAAGAACATCAGAGCATTGGGATTTTCCATGGACATCTTCAAGTCTTGTGTTCACAGATTAGTCAAAGATAAGTAAATAAAGAGGCATTCAAATGCCATCAAGCCATTACTTACAGAAACTGACATAGCCTCCTACACTTATTCAAAGTGGGAGACACTTGTAAAAGTAACATAAGGTGCATTCCAAGCATTACAGATAATCAGAGATAATCAGATAAGGACAGGAAATGCCATCATCATCCTAAAACAACAAATTGAGCAAAAGATACTTCCCCTATGGAGAGTCTCGAAATATGTCAGCATATGGATCTGGGAAAAAGCAATTCAAAGGAGTTCACCTCCTCGCCTTCTTCCACCGATTGAGAACTGTCATCGAACTGGGAGCCATGCCTCTTTCTTAGCGCCCAACCCGGATCCGTTTCCGTTGATGTCCACCAGCATGCACCCTCAGATTCTTCTTCAATGACGGTGGCTACGACGAGACAATCTTCAGATTGGCTAGGGTTGGACAGATGTGAGTGTACATCGGAAAGGGGTAGGCTTTTCATGTTGGAATCAATAGATGGCCCAGAGGAAAGGAGACTAGCATCTATGGAAGGGGTGAATGAGTTTGATTCCATACGAACACAGAAGAAAACGAAAGGTCTAGAGAGAGAGAAAGGCAATCGTTTGAAAGGGGAGATGGGGAGGCTAAAGGGATTTGGATTAACCGGTTGGGGAAGTGGGAGTGCGGGTAAGAGGGGGGTAAATGGGGAGGGTATTTCAGACATTTCATCTAACATTTATTTCCATTTAAGGAAATGGGAACTTCTTTGTGGGACAGTCAAATAAGGAAAGCGGGAACTTCATTGCGGGACGGAGGGAGTATATAATATCTTCTATTTTCCAATACACGTTGACTAGGTTGACCAATCATTGACTGGGCTGAATGCAATGGACTCATATTCATTAATGGAATGATAAACAGTCTAATTTTAGGTTTGATTATTCTCTTTTGTCTTACAAAAAACAAAGTAATAATCTTATTTCTTATATTTTGTAATTCTTATATTATTCTTTTTTATTTGTTTTAATTCCGAGTTCGAATGCTTTAGTACGTAGAATTATATTTGAATGGTTTGTAATAATTGAATTTAGCAAATCACAAAGTTCAGGTATTAGGTTATGAGTATGTTAATTTATAATTGAGTTTAACAAATAAATGAAGTGTATTTTGTTAAGGAATACTTTTATTTCAACTATTTCATTCGCGAATAACTTGTATTTTGATATAAATTATTACTCTCTCCGTCCTGCTAACAATGGGACAAGAAGGAGCGGCACGCAAATCAATAAAAAGTGGTTTTTGTGGTTGATATTGAATTGATAAAGTAAGAATAAAGTAAGAATGATTTTGAGTCACACAACTTTGCCAAATTTGATATGAGACAATCTTAATGGGACGGACCGATAAAGTAAAACGGGATAATCATAGAGTTTATTTTTGTAGCAAATTATTATTGAATTTTCTGTCGATGGTCGAGGCATTTATATTGTTTCTTTTAGAGTGGCTAGTAAATTAGGTCTTGTAGCGAATATTTCCTTCCATAATTACGGTCAATTTGCAAACAGAGTCTACAAGTGTACAAATTAATGATTCGAAGTGTCCGATTTGAATTATCCCAATCTAGATTTAAGCTTTACAATTATTTTTATTCTATTTTATTTTATCAATAATGATTCACTTTGTATTCTCTCGAGAATAAATTAGAAAAATTACTCCCTCCGTCCCACTATTATGGTCCTATTGCGGTTTACGATGTTTGACCGACGATAAAGTAAACGGATCTTTGTCTGCATTCAAATTATTTTTTTGTTTAAAATTACATATTCAAAAATTACATTAAAAGCTTTACAAAGTCGCAAAAACCAGAATCAAAATTGATAAATAAAGTAAGAGATTAAGAGTGATTTATGTTGATCAAGTGAATAGAAACTGAGACAATAATACTAGGATGTAGGGAGTAATACTTAAAAGTTAAAAGGTATGCACCGTGGCCGATGGGAGATGGTTCTTATAAGGTTATTCTAAGATCCAAATTTTCCGATGGTTAGATTATCATAAAAATCAAAATTTTGTGAGCTTATATATATATGTGATTTTTATGATAAATCAATATTAACCGTTAGAATATCAATTTTGGAGCTGATTGGTCAACTTTCAAAAAAAATTTAGGGAAAACTGTCAAATAGATCCTCCAACTTTCATAAAAAGGTCAATTAAATCCTTCTATAGGAGGTTTTGTCCGGCCGTCGCGATTTGTACCGTCGTCTACTCCCTCCAAGTCTAGTGCAAAACAGTGCCAAATAGTGTAGCTACGTACAGTGCCAAACAATGTCGCTACCGTGCCAAACAGTGTCACTACAGTGTGAAGTTAACTTTGTTTTCTTAATCTGCGTGAAGGTCAAAACAGGACGATTATTTCGGGATGGAGGGAGTAGAACAATACTCCGTAAAAAAGAGAGTTAGTTGTGGTATTCAACGAATATAAATAAATATATATATATATATGGAAGAGTTCAAATAAAAAGACCTCTTCCCGTGTAAAGTGCGAAGATATGCACTTTTGTATGTTTCACTTGCACTTTTGCGTGTTTCTGTTGCACTTTTTCGCGGTAACGAAAAAGTGCAACATATTTACGAAAATGCCACCACGATTTTGGTCGAATTATGTGCATTTTTGGCTCATTTTGAGCCATTAGATGTGGAAATGAATGCACAAGATTCATTCTCACTTTGCATGGGAAGATGTCTTTGTATTTGAACCATCCTCTATATATATATATATTGAGGTCCAGCACCTCACAGTCCGAATGTCGTCCGAACACCGCCGTTTGGGTCGGTTTCCGGTCGAATTTTTTGATGAAATTTTTTGAGCATGTTCCTCATCAAGTCTAGTTTATCCATACCAAATTTCAGCTCAAAATTCGATCGGGAAGCTTATCCTCATCAAGTCTAGTTTATCCATACCAATAAAATAGAATAAAAATAATTGAGTATGAAATTAAGATCTAACGTTTAAAACTGATACTCTGTAGTTGACACTGATGAGCAAAAAAATTGGATTACAATTTCATATTCGATCAAAAGTGAAGTCAATCTAATGAGATTCTTCTCACATTCGCCTGATTGAAACGCCGCTCTTATTTTCTCTCGGAGATTTTATTTATTCTGATGCATGGATGTGTAGTAGTTTGAGTTGTACTATCCTCACTTAGATCAGAAAAATTATATATAATCCTTTTCCCATGCATCATCATATATATTTGTAGGTTTAAGTTGTGAAATTTGACTTTGTCATTCAGCTTCAAGATTTTATATTGGCAAAATCAACACTTTTAATGTGCCAATATTGAAATGTAATCCGTGTGTTCTCAAATTTGTTAATATCACCCACCCCTCAATTGTTCAAATTGTTGTAAATGTGGTCCTTTAATTTGAGAGGGTGAAATGTACAATGTGTGTGAGAAATACATTTATAACAATTCTGTCAATTGAGTGAATATATTTACACACTTCAGAAACACAGGATTACATTTCAATATGGGCACTATTTGAGGGATTAAAAGTACGATTTTCCTTTTTATATTTGTACGTTGTTCTTTCTTAGTAAGTGCTACGCTTATAGTTGATTAACCTATTACTCTCTCCGGTTCTGAAAGATCTTTACACTTTCCATTTTTGGGAGTACCACAATTATCTTTACACTTCTTATTTGCCTTACAAATCTACCCCAAATAGTGCCAAACAATGTCAAACTCCTTACTATTTTTGAAGTCAAAGTGTAAAGATCTTTCAGAACCGGAGGGAGTATATTTTTTTGAGCTAGTGTGCTCAACATTGGGTTCTTGGTGGTTTAAGTTGTACTTGTATTTTTATTTTATTGCAACATGTATTCATACTTGTTTATTGTTATATTTCATACTTGTGTGGATTCACCTATATTATTGTGTCTATCACATGCTTTGCATGGCTCAACAAAGGTAGGGAATGATGATCAAGATTTCCAACGGTGAAATAAAAGTAGTGTGATATTTAATTAAATGAAGCGTAAGGAGTATTAGCAATAAAAAACAAAAGATTGTGTTGCAGTAGAGCTATAATGGGTTACTTTGTACTCTATATATGTATGTCCAACAAAGATTTACTTTTTGATCAGTTTTGACCGGTGCTTTAAATCTATCTATCATGGAAACTCCCCGGAGGAGTACCTTTCCGTTTTAGAAACTCTCTAAACAAGCCTTTTTTGAGTAAAAGTTGACGTTTTCGTTTCTCATTTTTTTCATGATTTTTGCGTTTCCGTACAACATAGCTTTAAGTCAACAAAATTTAGTAAACAATCTATGAGATTTAAATATGAATCAAAGTATTTTCGATAATGCCATTTTCATAGTGTAAATTATTGTTTATGTGTAAAAATACTAAATAGAGAGTAGATGCCAATTGAACAGTGAGTTTTATGTTTTTATCACATAGAGAAAGGAGTGATAGTAACGATTGAATCTTAGCTTCATTCCCATACTTTACACATCATCTGATACTCAAAATCACATTCAAAACGTAAGATGGCCATTAGACTTTAACCCCCCTCAAGGCAAATGCTCCTTAAAAGCATCACAAAGCTGACTGATCAAACAGGATAGCAAGTTGGGTTCCTGTCCCAAATTATAAATTGTCCCTTTGACCTACACATTCAGTTTCTAGTTTCCACTCCACCTCTCCTCGCCTTTTTAGTTAATTCTGAGTCTCTACACTATTTCATTTTGCTCTCATCTCTCTTTAATTTATGGCATGCATATACTATACGTATATATAATACGATGCTTACCAATATAACTATTACTCCCTCCCATTTTTCCACTTTATCAACTCATTACCAACCACGTAATTCTACTTTTCTTAAAAACCACACCACTCCCTTTCGTACCAATATTAGGGGGACGGAGGGAGTACTGCGTATTTGCTCGTAACAATAAGAGATCGTTTGGTCAAATTGAAAATTCTGCTGAAATTTACGAAGTTTTGGCTGAAGTAGATGGATTGCTTAGAGTTGTTCAATTATGAAAAGATTATATTTAAAATGCATTTTGATATTAAAATATTTTATTATACGTTTATACACATCTATGAGGATTTTTTTTATGGAGCAACAATAATAACAGTCTTTCATGGGTGAGCAGATCATCCAAAACAGGGTCCCACGCTGTCCCTCTCAGCTGCTGCAAAGAATCCAAAAGGTGAAGAATGGAAATAAAAAAAAACGAAAATGATGATCTTATTTAATTTGACGACAGCATGGCCCACTGGAAGAGCTGACCAGTCCTTTTCTCCTTTTGGGAGCCTATAAAATGCCCCCGCTCAACTCTGTTCCATCCCAACTCCATATTTTTCTTCATTATTATTACTCTCACACTCTTCAAATCTTGGATTTCAGCTACCTGTATCATCGTTTTTAATTCTCCATCATTTGAAAATGATGCATATATGCAGCACCGGGTGCCCTTGTGGTATGTACAATAACCAATATTATCAGGGCGACGACTACTCATCCGCCGCCGGCTACTCATCCATGTACTCATTCTCCTCCGTACCGCCGCCGCCCGCGAATGATCACCACCAGCAGTACTACTATGAAGAAGAATCTGCGGCGGCCGATTATGGCGACCACAATACTTCCATGTACTCTGTGGATTGTACCCTGTCGCTGGGAACGCCTTCCACCCGTCTCTGCGGCGGCAATAACAGTGAGAGGGCGCCGCCCACAGAATCCCGCCGCAAATCCTCCGGCCGCGGCTCCTCTTCCTCTGACCGCCGCTGCGCTAACTGCGACACCACTTCCACTCCCCTCTGGAGAAATGGGCCCAGAGGCCCTAAGGTAATCCATTCATTGTCTTTATTTTGGATCTTAATATTATACTCCCAACTCCCAAGTCAAGTATACTTTTTGACTTCATGGTCTTCAAAGCCGATATACGTATATTTTAATAATACCAAGTGGAGTATATACTTAAATTACTTTTGCTTTTTTCACGATGAGGCCGGCCGGGTCTATCCTTTTATACTTGTAAATTCTATAATAATTTAACATTTCGATTATGTAGTATAAATAATTGTTTCTCAAAGTTAAAACAAAAACTTAATTGTTGGACGGAGGTAATAATAATATTATCTCATTCCCACAATTTGGTTCATATTTTGACTTTAGTGATACTGTTTGACTGTTGATTTAAAAAAAAATCAAAATGAACTTAAAAAACTCATTAAATTAACATTTCAACAATGTGATATCTTCATTTTTAAATAATTGTAACATTTTGAATTTTACATTTGATTGCACTTTATCTATAAGAATTTCATTTTATGAAAAATATTGTTAAAATTTTCTGATTTGAATGGTATGGTTAAAGTTACATGTTGATAAAAGTGAAAATTGAAAGATATATGACCGGATTTGATATGCAGTCGCTATGCAATGCTTGCGGAATTCGGTATAAGAAAGAGGAGAGGAGAGCGAGCGCTGCGGCGGCGGCAGCGTCAGCAAACAACGGCGGAGGCGGAAGCCGGGGAATGGATGAGATGATGCAGCAGAGCTCATCATCATGGGGGCACCACTCGGAAATGGCGCCGGCGGCGGCGTACAGCAGCTACTCGTCATCAGCAGCCGCATATGGCAGCGGCGACATGGGTTACATGGACGATGAGGACCGTGATTCGGCGTTCCTTTCGTGGCGTCTCAACGTCCACTGCTCGTAATAATATATAAATGAATGCTGCATGCATGCATGCATGGATATGGAATGGAAGCTTCAATTCTTTGCTAGCTGCAACCACCCGCTTAATCCCATCATTGGTTCTGGCTAGCTTGACAGTAATTACAGTACGTAATTCGATCATTAAAGAAGAAGAAGAAGAATCGAAAATGCATGGGAACTAATTATGAATATTTAATTTGTTGTTACGTTGTAGGTAGGGAATTAAGGATCAGTAATTATATTTACCAAGTATAGTAGCTAGCCAGCGGAGTTTATTGAAATTCTTTTTTATCCCTTCAACCTTTTTGTGTACTGTTTATTAGTTTTGTGATTTCGGACCGGGGAATGATGAGGCCACGCAAGGCTTATATATGTTGTTTTTTGGCGCTTAGTCATATATCCATGGACTGGAGTAGACTGCTTTTTCTTTCTTTATATTTTAGTCGGTCTAATCTGAGAGTCAAGATGATCATGAAATGGATTGAAGAAGCTAGAATCACTTCCTTTAACTTTCCACTTTCATACATATATATAAATATAAATATGTATACTTTTCTTGGAATGTGATCTAGCTAGTCTAGCCTGGCCTAGCTCTCAATAATATAATAATTACTTAAAGTTGTTGTGAATATTCTCCCGGCCCTGACTGTGTCTCCATTTCCAAGAGATTCTGTCTCCCCCCCCCCCAAAGGCAATACTGTATATATTAACAAAAAATAAATAAAGTACTATGTGGGTGGGTGATGGAAAGAGAATGAATGGTTTTGAGCAGCACAAGTAACGATGGTATGGTATCCTATCCATGACCATGAGATCTAGAGCACGTACTTTTTGAGGGAGGAATTTGAACCAAAGTGTACCGAGTACCGGTGGACGGAGCTCAGCCGGTAGATAGGGGATACCATAAGGTTCGAATCCCGACAACTGCGAAGAGAGATTATTATGCTAAAATGTATAGGGCCTCTTCAAGTATCAAGACAAGGAGTTTTTTCCTGTCTAGCACTTTTCTGTCCAAACGCCGTCCAAACACCGCCGTTTGGGGCGGTTCCTGGCGGAATTTATTGATGAAATTTTTTGAGCATGTTCCTCATCAAGTCTAGCTTATCCATACCAAATTTCAGATGAAAATTCGATAAGGAAGGCAGTCAAATAATTCGTAGACGTTAATTGCGCCAAATTATACATAGAAAAACGCAATTAACTTCAACCAATTAATTGACTGCCTTCCCGATCGAATTTTGAGCTGAAATTTGGTATGGATAAACTAGACTTGATGAGGAACAAGGTCAAAAAATTTCATCAAAAAATTCCACCGTAAACCGACCCAAACGGCGGTGTTCGGACGGCATTCGGACCGGGAGGTCCTGGACCTCAATATATATATATATATATATATATATATATATATATATATAGATAGATATAGATATAGATATATATAAGGGATGGTTCAAATACAAAGAACTCTTCTCATGCAAAGTGAGAATGAATCTTGTGCTTTCATTTCCACATCTAATGGCTCAAAATGAGCCAAAAATGCACATAATTCGACCAAAATTGTGGTGGCATTTTCGTAAATATGTTGCACTTTTTCGTTACCGCGAAAAAGTGCAACAGAAACACGCAAAAGTGCAAGTGAAACATACAAAAGTGCATATCTTCGCACTTTGCACGTGAAGATGTCTTTTTATTTGAACTCTTCCATATATATATATATATATATATATATATATATATATATATATATATATATATATATATATATATATATATATATATATATATTCGTTGAATACCACAACTAACTCTCTTTTTTACGGAGTATTATTCTACTCCCTCCATCCCGAAATAATCGTCCTGTTTTGACCTTCACACAGATTAAGAAAACAAAGTTGACTTCACATTGTAGTGACACTGTTTGGCACTGTAGCGACATTGTTTGGCACTGTACGTAGCGATACTGTTTGGCACTGTTTTGCACTGTTTTGTATAGATTTATTTATCAAATAAGGAAAGAAGATAATTATTTTGGGACGGATCGAAAAGGAAAAAAGGACAATTATTTGGAGACGAGAGGAGTATTTACTTGTCTCGTCATATCAGGGCACACAATGAGTGGCCGGAATGTGCACTGCTCTCTTTTTCCACGTTTTCAAAACCTTTTTTTGTATATAACTATATGCACATACGTTCTATGTCAAATTTTAAAATGAATTGCTTCTGACCCCGACACAACTTGGGAGAAACAAATTCATGTGTCACACAATTTTCTTTGGTTGCTATAGCTCACAATGGAAGGATGTGGTCTCTTACACATATGTCTCGTTTTTTATCTCACAATTTTCATGTGTAGGATCCATGTGCTTCCTAATTTATTTTTATTTTCATTTTTTATATCATTTTTTACTCACTTTTCATCAACTTTTCCTCCTCGAATCCCGTGTAAGGTCAGTGGCGGATCCAGAAATGATATGTATTGGGGGCGCAATTTCAAAAATTTAAGCTGACAAAAAAATGATAGCTAGTGCATGTTTGGTAGGCATAAGTCTATATCTTGTAGCTTTGGCATGACAATTTATAAGAGTTATTATAGAAATAAAATATCTTTTTTAAGATGTTACAGTGAGTAACATCCGAATTTTTTTTGTATCTTTTAGCATTAATTATTCTCAACAACTTGTATACCAAATAGAGCTAAATCAAACAACCAGATTTTTTTTTCAAACAACTATCACTCTTTTCTTTTAAGTCATTAAAAGTTAGCAGTTACTAGAAAGCTCATAAAAATATCTTTTCAGCTAGTTGTGCCAAACATACCCTTAATCTAATCTGAGTTCTATTCGAAATGTTTTATTATATTGTATGCCACGAAAATATTTTATTAGAATATTAGATCCAATGAATTGATATTGACGTGTTTAAATAAACTTAGGTATGCTGAGGTTTTTTAAATAATTATAAAATAAAAAACAGGAAAGTTCCCCAAATAGGAGTAAACGGATTTTGGAATTTCAAGAAATGACTGCTATGTTTTTCTTCCCGAAATAGGATTAACGTGACAATATTTACTGTTATTTTGTGTTCTGTCAAATAGTTGCAGTATTAGGCATTAGACATGATAATATTTACTACTCTATAATATCATTAATGACAATATTTTCCAATCGTAGAAGTATTTTCAATAATGGCAGTAACGACACACACTTTTGAAGAAAAACATAATCATTCTATTTAGAATTCCAAAACTTATGTACTATTTAGGGGAATTTCCTATAAGAATTAGCTGATATTTATAAATAATAACATCAATAGCATGCAAGTCAAATTCAAATAAACTAATTACTAAATAAAAAAACTCATTTTAATTGCTATCATCATATTTTAAATTTACTATTTTGGAAACTAACTAAACTATTGACAATTTTTTCATATTTTTGTTATCCTGTTAACATTTCTTTCAACCATTTATAACTCAAATAAGTTAAGCATATACAGCAATAAATATCATCATAATCCTTCCTGTATAAAATTATTTTTGTTGGGGGCAACATAAACTTTTTAATGGGGGCAAGTCTTATTTTTCTACAAACAAAAAGTTTTCATATATATACATTTAGCTTCATAGTTATATTTTATTGGGGGCATGTGCCCCCATTACCCAATGCTTACATCCGCCCTTGTGTAAGGTTCATTTATGGACCTTGTCATAGACCTAAGCATACTTTTCGTTTTTCGTTTTTTCCTACACACCACTTCATTAAAATATTTATATTATCACTACAAAAAACTCGTGTTTTGTCACGGATTTTTGTCACGGATTACGGCCCTGAAAAAGTTGTCACGGGCTTTGTCACGGAAAATTGGGATTTGTCACGAATACATTTTGTCACGGATACGTCCGTGACAAAATCCGTGACAATTCTTTGTCACGGCTTTGGTCCGTGACAAAGTTACTCCGGTGACCGGTTTTTTACTCTGGCCAAAACATTTTTTGCTCCCGGGCATTTGTCACGGACACATCCGTAACAAATCCGTGACAAATTTCAAAAAAAGTTTGTCACGGACGGATCCGTGACAAAATCTGTGACAAACCTCAATTATTGATTTTCCAGCGGTAGCCTTTAATAATACAGTACGAAAAAGGGGTTGTCACGGATACATCCGTGACAACTATGTGACAAAGTTTTATATATATCCCAACACCATCGTCCATTACAATTGCAAGAACAACACTTATCATTTCAAAAATTCGTAGATTCGAGTGATGTAGTATCGGTTTAAAGATTGAATGATGTAATCTGTCAGTTCATCATTTTTCCTGTTTATGCAGATAAGGTATGTCATTTTAACTAATTTCTTTTAATTATGTAATAAATTATGAGCTTAGTGAGGTTAGTTGTTCGGTTATTTAAACTATTAACGTAATTTTAACGTAATTTAGTGAGGTCATGTTAATTTTCATATTATTAACAATATATTAAACTATTAACGTAATTTAATTAAATTTAAATATTAGTTAAATATAAATATTAATTAGTTAATTGAAATGAGTTTATATCACCAATGATTAGGCCGGTTTGTTTATTAGCAATTATTGTTATTAATGCATAATTTAGGATTTGTAGTGATTTAAGTTAGCTAGCTTATTATAGCTTAGTGACTTGTAGTGATTTAAGTTAGCTAGCTTAGGTTATTATCACCAATTATTGTTTATTAGCAATTATTGTTAATGCATAATATAGGATTGGAACTTTCTTAATTAGTTTAGTATGAATTATTATTGTGAATTAATGAGATAATATATTTAACAATAATAGTAGTAAAATGTAAATTAATTAACTAAGTTAAAACATTGAACTTTAGTGAAATGGGTTTAGAATTTGAGTTGATAATATTAGTTAGATTTAAATATTAGTTAATTGAAATGGGTTTATAACCAATGATGATTAGATTTGTTTATTAGCAATAATTATTGTTAATGCATAACTTAGGATTAACTAAATTTCAAAAAAAGTTTGTCACGGACGGATCCGTGACAAAATCCGTGACAAACCTCAATTATTGATTTTCCAGCGGTAGTCTTTAATAATACAGTACGAAAAAGGGGTTGTCACGGATACATCCGTGACAACTCCGTGACAAAGTTTTTTATCTATCCCAACACCATCGTCCATTACAATTGCAAGAACAACACTTATCATTTCAAAAATTCGTAGATTCGAGTGATGTAGTATCGGTTTAAAGATTGAATGATGTAATCTGTGAGTTCATCATTTTTCCTGTTTATGCAGATAAGGTATGTCATTTTAACTAATTTCTTTTAATTATGTAATAAATTATTAGCTTAGTGAGGTTAGTTGTTCATTTATTTAAACTATAAACGTAATTTTAATGTAATTTAGTGAGGTCATGTTAATTTTCATATTATTAACAATATATTAAACTATTAACGTAATTTAGTTAAATATAA